CCCTCCCTCCCCCCCCTCTCTCTCTCTATTTATCTCTCTGTATAAAGAGAGTGTCTGTTCAGGGGAAACCAGCCCATTAGGATTTGATGACAAAGGAAAAAAATTGGGAAAACATCGCTTTCTATAGCTTAACGCTTGAACATTGTATTGGGGCTGGAAATGTATTCAGTAGAATCAAATGTTCTCCATACCGTGGTACTGGTCTCTTGGATAACTGTACAGAGTTGAAAAAAGGGACGAGGGGCAAAACCCAAAGCGCACCACAATAGGGCATCGCTGAGCATACAAAAGGTAATGTTGCACCATCATAGCATTCAAATAATAATATTATCTGTAAATACACTGCTGTTGTTGAAAACAAGAGATATAATTAAGTTAAATGGTTTTATTTCGAAAGGCTGTATGACAAAATGCTTCATTTTAAAAAAATGAAAAGAACTTATTTATTTAATGGGGGGGTTACACCCTCAAAGTCAAGATTCGACTAAAAATTATGGAATTTGAGTTGTAGGCATTTTTAGCTTCCTTAGCCCCTCCTACAGCTATTTCATCGCATAAGAACCCACCAAAAACCGAATTTTTCACACACCGGGCATGTTTGTCACCGTCATTTCCTCATAAAGTCAATATTTTAATTTTCTTTATCGGCTGTTTTCTCAAAACGCAACTTTTCTCTATACTTATTTGAATAATCAACCATTTTTCACCCAATCTTCATGAAATTTTCACAGAATGAAGAGAAGATGTAATACTAAAAATTTGTCTGTTGAATTTTTGATATATGAAATATATTTTTTTGGTGGTGTCTGGAGTGTGGATTTTCACGGATTTTTTACAAACTTGAATGCTACCTCAGGAAAAAATTCATTAAAAAATTTTCTAATTCGTTTAGGAAAATAACAACGACAAATTTTTAGATCTCATGTTTGTTAACACGCAGGCAAAAAATAAACAAAAAACCCCCAATAAATTTCCATGAGCGATAAGCGCGGTATTCATTACGTAAGACATGTCAACATAATCCAATATGGCCGCTGTATCCATGGATAAGAAACTTTTTTTCTCAAAATTGATTGCGGATTTTAAGACTCCTTACTATGCTTGTTATATGTGTGAAATTTGGTAAAATTCGGTCTTGTAATAAGTGAGACAGCCTTCCGGTGTAGTCCCCCCCCCCCCCTCTTAAAAAAGGTACTTCTCAAATTCATCGTCTTAGAGCTGCTTAATATAAGCTGACTGGTAGTAGTGTACAATCGCAAGTTTAGTTTGACTGCTTTTCCAACACAAATAGGTCACATGGCCTATGAATGCCGAAGATTTGAGGTGTTACTAGAGAGTAACATAGGCCGACAAAGAAAAGAAAGAAGAGAGATAAGGTCGATAGGAAAGAAGGAACAAACCACATAAAAAACAACTGTCAATCACCCACTGACGGGGAAATAGAGAGAGAGAGAGATAGATAGATAGATAGATAGATAGAGAGAGAGAGAGAGAGAGA